CGAGCCATGAATCGCAATCTTTGATCCGTCAGGTTGACGTGGTGGTTGGGACCAACCAGGAGGCAGGGCTGGGTCAACCCCTTGTTTCAACAAGTTCTAACCCAAACCACCTCTTCTTGGTTTCCCTTCGGGGGGGAGGGGGGAAACGGGTCTGGTTGTGACAAATGTTGCACCCAAGAAAGCCAGGGCTCCCCCTTGGACTTCTTGCGGAGCTTCGCCGGTCCTTTGGCCTGGCTCATCGCTGGTCTCCTGCTGCTCTTCGGCGGACCCTTGGGCGGCCCTGCAGGCCCCGGCGGCCCAGGTGGCCCAGGCGGGGATTGAAGGCTTGCTTGGAGTAAGAAACAGTCCGACCATAGTTTTGCTTCTTGGGGGATTTTCTTCAAATGGCTACAGCTTTTCAATTCCCGTGAAAGTGCTTGGTGGACGCAGCGAGACACCAAAAGGAATTCTGGATTTCGTATCGCCGCCTTCGAGGTGGGAACCCCTTTGAGTTGGGCAAAGCCAAGGCACGTGGCTTGGCATCTAGTGGAAGGATCAGCTTCAAGCTGATGTTGTTTTTTGGCAGTGCTTTCGTGCAGAGTGTGGCATAGAGCCACAGCAGCATTCTTCAAGAAGTCCCATCAATTCAAGCAACCGATTGGAATGCGCTTGTTCCCAGTGGTACAGGAGATAACACACCAGCTGGAAGGGTACAATGATTCACTAGTTTTGTTTCGCAAAGGCGGACATATGCAATACAGGGGCACGAGGAGTATGGGTGTGTCTCAAAACTAGGGGACCCCCCAAAATGGTTTCCTTGTGAAAAGGTGGTTGCTCCAAGAGGACACGCCCATATTCGAGTGTTCTCCGACGTTGAGGCCCTACATGTTGCATTGCCTATGAACTCATGGAATCACCTCTGCAGCTGAGGTATTGCCAAGGACGGAGAGACGGGCACCAAGTTTGCGGATGTCGCCGGATGCGACGGCGCCAAGCAGGAATTGGTGGAGGTGGTCGACTTCCTGAAGAATACCTCCAGGCCAGCATTTTGAGAGAATCTGGCTGTGAGCAACGATTCGACCTGGGACAGGTGAATACTAGTCGACTTCCACCCCAACCCACAACAAACGGATGCGGCAAGACGCACGTTTAACTCTTTGCCATGGGTTTTGGCTGCACTCACGATCTGATTCTGACCCTGAACTGATTACACGTGAGTTTGTTGTAGGTGTTGCAGTCATTGGCGGGTTGACACACTCAGATACTCCGAGCTGGGCGCGAAGATTCCCAAGGGTGCGCTGCTGGTGGGCCCCCCGGGAACTGGCAAGACCCTGCTGGCGAAGGCTGTGGCCGGCGAGGCGCGAAGGGGGCTGGAGGAAGCTTTGGCCGTGGCTTCAGAAATCACGCGGGCCGCGAGTTTAGGTGGGTGCGGTTGGAGTAAACAGCTCTTGACAGTGTGATCTTCATACAAAAAATCGAGGCTCAGATCGCAACACCTTTCTGGGCGTTGTTTAAGAGAATCAGCCAGTGGGCTTAGCTGAGGGTCAACGACTTTTGAGCCATAGTTGAAGGACGAAATCCTACACCGCTTTCGCTATGGTGTACAAAACCCTCGCGCTCCCCATTTATCTTGGGAAGTTTCAGGTCCCTTGGTGGCACGCATGTTGGAAGGACCGTGAACAACTTTGAAAAGGGGAGCGGGGTGCGCCCGGTCAACCATGGGCAGATACAGACAAAAGTGAATGTGCGAGGGTCGCTCAAGAAATTGAGTACGTCTTGGCCAACTTGGCCCAGCGCACAAACACATCACTTGAGCATCCATCGAAGCCCGGGTAGATGAAGGAGTCCCAGTCAGAAATAGGTTCCGCCACCCCTTTTTATTCTTTGCATGGTTTGCATGGCCCTCTTGAATACCAGCTTGGGATTGCGGCTCACTTGCCAACAGGACATTCATGGAGAGGGGTGAGCTCTGATGCCTCGGACAAATGTTTGTGCAGATTTGCCGCTTGCCAAGGGCGTATGCCGGGCCGTACTCACAATTCATCACCAATGATACCCCTTCAAGTTGATCTTGGAGTTGGAGCATTTAAACGTACATATTGCACAGGTATGCACACATATGTCAATCACATGTCTCCACATACGTGAAACAATCTGTATACACATGCAGGTATACTCTTGTACCCTTGGATGAGTGTCTTGCACATAGACAGTTTCCCGGACGCATCGGATCTGTGCATTTGGAAAGGCGGGGGTGCCGTTCTTCAGCATCGCTGCCTCGGAGTTCGTGGAGGTCTTCGCCGGGGTGGGCGCCAGTCGTGTTCGGGACCTCTTCGAGCAAGCCAAGAAGCGGCTCGGCTTCGGCCGGTGGTGTTTGGAGGGACCATGTGGGGGGGAGCTTCCCTTTAAATGTTTCGGGTAAGATTTAGGTTTCTGCCTTCACTCTTGGGGGAACCTACTGTCCGGCCACTTCTGTGGTTGTCCCTCAGATAAGCCAGCCCCATGCCAGATCGGGTAGGCGTTTTCTCCAACTTTTTGGATAGGCATTCTGGCTGATAAGAAGCTACCGGAGAGCCTTGTTGACCTCTGTTGCTGGACACAGGGGTCGTCTTGGCACATTGTTGTCAACAGTTTGTGCTACGATGGCCAACGGTGCTGCGAGCAACTGACAAACATATCTGTAGTCTAGTGTTACAGTAGTTTGGGGAGGATCTCAATGCTGAGGCCAGGGCAATACAGAACACAATCTGTCAACCCATACATGCACCAATAGTCAAGCGCAAGCCGCAGACTTTGCACGCAAGCTGGGCATTATTTCTCTTGCCACCGGGCAGAGAACATGGTATGGCAGGATCAGGCTGCCTTCTTTACTCTTGCTTGCAAACTAAGCAATATGTCTCAACCTGGTCCGCCGCGTTGTTTGTGATAAATCGCAACACTATTCCCTTTTCTTTCGACGCGCATCGCATAAGGTCTGCTCCTTGCATCATTTTCATCGATGAGATCGATGCCGTGGGGCGCCAGCGCAGCGCCGGCTTTGGCCAGGGCAACGATGAGAGGGAGCAGACCGTGAACCAACTGCCAAGTTGGTCGCTTTTTCGTTTGTTTGTTTGGAGGTTGTTTCACTTTGACATCAACCACCAAAAGGGTGCCATTTCCCATGGAAATATACTGGGCTTCTCAGGTGAACCAACTGCTCACGGAGTGCCTTGCCTTTTGGTACCGGGCAAGATGCGGCACGATGCCTTTTCCAACAATGGAAGTGGAAGGGAAGCCTTTTTAAGATGAGAGTGGTCTTCCAAAATCCTCCATTCTACTGTCATGGTCGTTGAAAGAAGGAGAACTTAAGGTTCTTGGCAAGGGGATGTTCTATTGCAAGATGGCGCACTAGACTTCGAGCATCTAATGAACGACAAGGGTCAGTGAAGCGCACTTGAGCGATGGAATGCTCATTTGAAGAGCTGAACTAATCACTAGAACGCTGGGAATGAATGTTTTTCATGTGTAGAAGTGGGGAGGACATGAGTGCACTTCACAACGTGACTGTACAAACCAGAGGGACTACCCCAACGTTCCCATGTCCCTTGGAGGCAGTCGTAGTATTGACCGTTGCTTATAGGGCAAACTTCACGGACGAAATCCAGATGTCCACGTCGAGGATAGCTTGCGCGTAGTGTTCGGCCATTCTCCAGAGTTTCTATCGGAAGCGGGCGGCTCAGGATGGACGGGTTTGAGGCCAACAAGGGCGTGGTGGTCATCGCTGCCACCAACCGCGCAGACATCCTGGACCAGGTGCATCGGAGTGTGGAGTGATCCAAATGCTCATGCATTTTCGGGGTGGCCAGCACGTTTGGAAACAAACGCATTGCCCAGATGTTTTGTCAGTTGCCTTGACTTGTGCTGCCCGCTTGTTCTGCAGAGCAGCCAGGGGTAAACTCAGGCCTACTGGCGGTGGTTTTGCATGAGTGCAGCCGTGCAGCTTGTGGGCTGGCTAAGTCTCTATGCATTCCAGGGAAGGGTAAGGCTTCCGTGAGCCGAGGGCGCACATTTTGACCACAGCTTATTGTTACAACAGGCAGCTTGTTTTGTTCAAGTCAAGGCCCGGCGTGGGCATTGGTTCCGCCTAGCTCAGCCATTTCAGGACTTGCTTGTTGCGGTGGTCGGTGGTGGAAATTTGGGCAGTGTATGGCCCCTTAGTTTTCCTGAAACTAAGTTTTGTGTGTGTCTTTCGGTTTTTGAGGGTACCTTTTCGAGGGGAAACTAAAGGGAACCACCCAATTTTGAGCGTGTCCATATTTGGACAAACCAATTTGCCTTCGGCAGACTTTTCCATGCTGCCAGGCGCTGGTGCGACCTGGACGTTTCGACCGCCAGATCCAAGTGGATCCCCCAGACGTTCAGGGCCGGACGGTGTCCCAGTTGCACACTGGATGGGGTGCTGAATCTGCGGCTTTTGCGTAGCATGCAGGCAAGAGTAGGGGGACCGCTGCAAACACGGTCTTGGGAGTGCCCCAAATGCAAAAACACATTGTACATATTATATATATATGTATATATATATATATATTTGGACAGACATAGGTAGCATTTTCGCGCAGCTGGGCTCTGTCAAATTGGCAACAAAGCCATGCAAAACAACAGATCTCTGCAACACAAGATAGTTTTGAAGTCGTTGTGGCTTGGAAAGGACATTTGGGTTTGGAACTGGTGACTTGCAGAGGCATTGTCTATCTTTAAGCCTCTCTGATTGGGGACATGTGAAGACTGCAAAGTGTGTGGTGGTCTTTTTTGGCTCGGATCAGGCGCATCATACTTTGTTTCAGGCCACTCGCCACCTTCAAAAGAGCATGATGGTATTGGCCTTCATCCCTCGAGGCTAGACAAATGCAGGACCAAAGAAAGCGGTCTTTGGGGGATGTCTCTCCAAGTTGGTCATGAAATTTAACGCGGGCCTCACTTTGTAAGAGCACAGCAGGCACTTCTGAGAGCCTGGTGGCACGGGTTTGAAGGGGTTGAGCCCAGGAGATCCTCAAGGTTCATGCCAAGGGCAAGAACCTGGCACCAGGCAGATGTTTGCGGACGTCCCGGGGAATGAAGCTAAGTGTTTCTAAGAAGTGTAACAAGTCTCGCCCTTTGCCGGCGCCGCAGAATGTTCCCCCCTTCGCCATGTGCCCTCCCACCCACCAACATAGAAACCACCAAGGGGTCCTTGCGGAGAAAAAACGGCCTTTTCGGGTCCTCGAGTCTGATTCCACGTTGGTTGGTGGAGCGTGGTTCAAGCGCAGCCTTGCCTATCAAATTTCAGGGCAGATCTTTTCTCATTTACAATGGCGTCTCCATGCTGCACTTGGTGGAGACCAGGACACATCCATCCGCATACCTTGCATCGGTCCACTTGCGGATACATGCTAGAGCAATGGACAATGTTTACTGTCATCTACCGTACCAAAGGGGATGACATGGGGCACGCTCACCTTGCACACATTGAGTATCCAAGTGAGGTCGACGAGGAGATGCCTCCCAACAGATTCCTGACCCGTTTTCAGATCTTTGAAGGTGCCACCTCCAATCCTCCAAGCCCCTTTAGACATGGAACTTGGGAAGTGACCCCTAGAATTTTATGGTTCTACTTCCGGCATGATTCTGGGACTCAAATGAACTTGGGAGACCCGGCGCCCCCTTCCTTTGTGGGTAGGGATCTTCAACCTGCCAGCACCTTCCAATCATTGCCCTTTGGGTCTCCTTCATTCTCCATGTTCACCAGCTCAATTGAACTTTTGCGGGGGTCTTAGTCCCGCCTGGCCAAGCTTCAATGCTCCCAACCGTCACGTTTCGCCTGCCGCCTTGGCAGGCGTGGATCTCACGGCTGTGGCTCGGATGACCCCCGGCATGTCCGGCGCAGATTTGGCGAATTTGCTGAACGAGGGCGCCATCGTGGCGGCACGCGAGAACAAGTGCCTTGGATGTTGGGGGGGACTTTTGGGTTGCAGGTTTTGGACCATGGCTTGGGGAGGTTTACACGCGAAGACTATCAGCATGATCGTCATCATGATCATTATCATCCTGGACATGGTTGGCATCATTGTCATTATTTTCTTTCTCATCGCTATTGCTGGTGTGGTTGTCGCGCCATTGTTGTTGCCTCTCTGAGGCTGTCGTCGCCTGGCTAGGAGTCAATTTGGTCTGCGCGCTTGTTTTCGATCTCTGACAGCCCGAGCTTGTCGAGGTGTCATTTGTTGGTTTCTGCTTGACGTGCCAGAACATCATGTTAATATCAGCCCTGAAAACATGGACGGATTGCTCATTCTTTAGTTTTAGATATGGTATGCAGCTGTACACTCTAAGGACTGAGATTGACCAGGACGACATTGCGAACGCACTGGAGAGGATCGCCATTGGTTTGGAGAAAAAGGATGTCACATGGCTGCACACGTATTTTTTCTGGCAATGGCCCTGGCCATCAGTCACACCTGCCCTTCAAGCCAGCGCCAAATTTGGGGAACTCAATCAATGTCGAACACAAACCAGGTCAATGGCTCACATTCCTGTTTCAGCTGGCGACCTCTTGAATCGCGCTTTGAGCAGTCTGCATGGCCCAAGTCAGCTCTCAGCAAATATGGGGGCCCAGTCTTTTAGCTGGTTTTTGTTGCTATAAACTGGACTGGGGAACACCCACAAAATTGGTAGGGCGTCCCAGAAAAGTCATAAGCTGCCAGCTGCCAACCCTCTTTGCTTGTTGTTGCTAGTTTGTTGGTTGCAAAGCTACGCAGTATGCGCCAACAGCAATTGCTATGGCCTGAGAATCTGCAGAAGAATCAACATGAATTGTCTGACGTGCATATTTTGTTTCTTGTTTCTCATGGAACCTCACAATGCGCGCTTCACACCTTTATCTAGGATTTTCAATACTCCTTTGCCTGTCATGGAACCGCGCCGGACACTGCCACGTTTCGCGTTGGCGGGCGCAAGCCGCCTCAGGCCGTGATGAGTGAGAAGAAGAAGCGGTTGGTGGCCTATCACGAGGCTGGCCATGCTATCTTGGGCGCATTGATGCTTGGCAGCTTCAGAAATTTTTGGCACGTGCTCAGTTTCTTCCCTTTTTGCTTCCGACTGCTTTTGTGGGACGCAGCCGCTGAACGCTGCCGGCACTAAATTCTGGTACCATTGAACAATGGTTGGTGCTGTTGTTTCACGGCGGAGCGGCCACAGAGCGTGCGGGTTCCAGATGTTGTGAAGGGGTCGTGTGAGAACCTTGGAGCATACCTTAAACTCTGCTCTGAGGATTCGTTTCATAGTGGTTCTGTATGTTGGATCTTGGAGGATGCTTGCGCCACAAGGATGAACGACTACGACGTCGTCGCCAAGATCAGCATCGTGCCCAGGGGACCTGCGGGTGGTGTGACCATCTTCACCCCCTCGGAAGATCGCCTGGATTCTGGGCTCTACACCAAGGCGCGGCTTCCGGATGTTCGTTTTTCTGAATTCGAGGTAGAGGAAGAGCTGCCTTTAGCATCAACTTCGGATTAATCCGGAGGACCATACTAATCAGGGTGGCTGCCCTGTAGTGAAGGATTAGTCTGTTTTAGGGGCATTCCTCGGATGTGTCCTCCGCATTAATCCGAAGTGAAGATTGGTAGTTGCCAGGGTAGCATTTTTTTCTCGCCCCCCAGGCATTGAAACCCACTTGTTGATGGGCAGCAAATATTAAGTGAACCTCCGGGTGTAGTGTCCTGGTTTATTAATATGTGACATCGGTCACTTTCATGAGATTATTTCTATGAATATAATATTTATAAGTATCGGGGTGCTTCAGATGATTTTGGACAGTCGTGTTTGTCCATCCTTTAATCCACTCCCCAAACCCAACTCAACAAGTATATTTTCCCACTTCCCAACCTCGAACAATATTTCTGAAAAAAGCCACACCCAACTAGGCCTTGATGGGTGGTTTCGATTCTTTTCTGAGGAGTTTCTGGAGAACCGGATGTGCGTGGCGCTGGGCGGGCGATTGGCGGAGGAGACCTGGGGTTTCGCTGCAAATTCTGTTTCAACAAGTGGGGCTATCCCTTTAAACGGCAGCGCAGGGGTCCAAAAAGGACCATATGCTTGACAACCCCCAAACCAGACCCGGGCTTTCTTTGAAGGGAAGCCAGGAGTGTTTTTTTCGTGATTAGAAGCTCCCGTTGAAGGGATGTTTCAAGAATAGGGGCTTAGTCCCATGTTCAAACCAGGGCTTGAATCGCCCAACCCCTAAGGAAAACAACAGTTGGTGGTTTGAGCCATGGCTTGAACTGGGGGCTAAGGGCTTGTCTAGCGGGTATTTGAAGGATATGGGTTTTGTCCCAGTCTAGAAGGGGGTATTGCCCAACCATTGTTCAAACCACCCTGTGGTACTTAACCCACAGTTAAGCCGCAATTTAAATCCATAGGAGTGAGTTCAGACCAGTGGCTTGAATTGCCAAGCGTGGAGGAGATCATCAACGGCAAGGACAATGTCACCACAGGGGCCTCCAACGACTTCCAGCAGTGCACGCAGGTGGCCAAGCAGCGCCCAGGCCGCATGCCTTTTTTTTTGCAGTGATCGCCCCTGCCACCTTCATTATTTTGCAGAGGAGACACCCAATCATGTTCCTAAGTTGAGCTTGCAAAGTTGAATCCAACTGACGTGCCTTGAAGGCTAGAGGCCTGTCCGTCCTTTTGAATCTCGCTTTTGCAATCATCTGACAAATGGAACACGGGGTGCAGCTTCCAAGCGTGTGTGTGTGTGTGTGAAGTGTTTTTTTACTCACATGATGCCAGAAAGCATTGGCCTGTTTGCGAAACCAAGGTCCTTTTTCAAACAGGCCAATGGGTTTGTGTCAAAACTTTGCGACCCCAAGGGATTGGCGTTGTTCCATCTTCAACAGCAACCAATAAACAACAGGTGGGTTTGTCTCTAAATGAGGGACCCAAATAGGTGGGCCCTTTGATAATATGTGTTTTCCCATCTTCCAGCAAGGGAGAACCATATGCATGTAGACTGGGATCACTCCCTATACACTTAAAGTGTGGAGTAGGGATCTCCCTGGTCTTCATACATCCAAACAAAAAGCAAGTGTTTTTCCCCACCCGACAGGTTGTTAGATTTTATGTTGAAATCCGCGTTTGCGATGCTTCTACACGACGCCCCTAACCAGTATCCCGCTAGAGCAGCTGGCCAGTGGATCCCGCCGCCCAATTTTGGATGGCCTCTCAGCGAAAAAGGGGCACGCTCAAAGAAGGAGCAAGTTTTCCATTTCCGATCGACAGGGCATAGATTGCTGAGGATGGTGATGTCGCTGGGCATGTCCCCAGCGATCGGCCAGCGGCTGTTGGGCGGCCAACAGGGGGGCGGTCCCTTCATGGGCCGAGACTTCATGGGTCAGAGCGCGCCCCCCATGTCGCAGGCCTTGAAGCAGCAGGTGGATGATGAGGCGAGGACGAATCTGGGTGAATGTGGGGGGCCAAGGGACAAACGGCCCAGGGGCGAGTCATCCAATGGGAGAATGCAACATGATGGTGGCCTGGTCGAAGCTGCCATTTTGCATGCGGCAATCGAACATCCGAACATTCCGATGCCAGTTTTGCAATTAGAGTCCAATCCTTGGAGGTGAAGCGCATAGTGGATGAGCAGTACAAGCGTGGGATGAAGCTTCTCACTGACAACATGTACCTGCTGGATGAGCTTGCCAAGACCTTGATGGAGCAGGAGAAGGTTGGTGGTGAAGAGTTGGTCAGGATGATCAACAAGGCTGCGATTGAAGGCAGGGTTGGTTGACGGCTTGGTTGAAGCTTGTTTGAACAATCGTCGTTTAACTGGGCTTTATGGCTGAAGGCAAGTTGGTCATGGCGCAGCAGATGGCCACTGCGGCCTACATTGGTGAAGCCGCCGAAAACACCGGCACCAGCCGCGCCGCGCTGCCAGCGCAAGTCCACCAGGTCCGGGGCCAAAGGAGACCTGGCTTTTGCGGAAGCCGCGCTTTGCCTATGCTGCGCAGCCGGGCAGACAGGAGCGCGGTGGCGCGGTACGGCCTTGCCACCGAAGGGGTGGAGGCCGCAAGCGAGTGCACCAGCGATGAGGTGCTGCGCAAGGTGCAGCAGGTGGCCGACTCGCAGGGTACAGCGCTGCCAGAGCAGGCGAGGGATGGCACAAGTCCAAGGTGCTTTTGTTAACAAGGGCTTTCATGGCTTCTGTAGATAGAGGGTGCTTGCGGCGGGATGGCCTTTGGATACTTGGATTTGTTGGGGCAGGGGATTGTATTGGAGGGTTTTCCCTGTTGCAGGCGATCCAAGCTGTTGCTGCCTCTTTTCTAGTGGCGTTGGCATCCACTGCAGCTCCTATGCCAGCCTCGGCCGAGGTGCCAGCCTCGGCCGAGGCTGCTTTGCCAGACATAGCCCCAATGCAGCAGGCGGCCCCAGCACGAGAGATCGCAGCATCGCCTGCGGACAGGGTCAGCTACTCGAATTTGCTGCAGCTGGTGGATGAACCTGGCCCGCACGTTGTTTCTGTTCGAACGGAAAGCATGGAGCAACTTGCACCATGTAAGATGCTGTATCAAGCTGGCTTGGCAAAACAGCTCGGCAAAAGAACATGACTTGAAAACATATTTCATGCGTTTCAGTGCTGAGGAGGGTCAGGTGGACCGTGTGGACTTCTATGACAAGGGCCGCACAGCGGTGGTGAGCGTGGCGGGCAGGCAGCAGCAGCTGGTGGCAGAGCTGCCGCTGGGCACCGGACTCATCAACAAGCTTTTGGCCAAGCAGCGGCTTGCCGTGAGAGCAACTAATGGCCTAAATCAGTGGGGTCAAAAGACAACTGTTATCTACTCTAAACGGGACACGTGCGCGTGATCCCCAAAATACCATCTCACTAAGATTCCATTGGGATACTCCAAATGTTGGCCGCGGCTCAAATCATTAGAATGGCATAGTGGAGTGGGGTACTTTACTTTGTATCAAAGCACGTTTTTTTCCTCTCTTTTTTCCGCGCCCTCTTGCCACGTCTCAACATTTGCCTTCTTTGAACCTTTTGCAGGAACCTTCTCCAAATTTGCGCTTGTTTTTTTAAGGCATACTACAAGGGCACTACAGGGCTACCTTTTGTACCTTTTGCCTTTTGCACGCTCCACCTGGCCTATTTGGGACGCTTTCTCGGCCGCGGTTTGCTCTTTATTCAGAAGAGAGGATGGTGGATCGTGAACTGACAGAACATTTCGGAGCTTGCTGTCCACTTGCAGGCATTGATCTTCAAATGAGATAATCCCAAAACTGGGTGTTTTGTTTTGAATTGCCTCTGCAAAAACAACAACAGTGTGTCCTCAAAAATACTTGTCCGCTTGCCGCACGGAGCTTGTATCTCAGGATCCAGATCGAGGTCCACACTCCGGAGAAGCCCAACCCTCTGCTGGGCGCGCTGGGCGATGCCGCCCTGCCGCTTCTGCTCATCGGAGGGTTGCTGTATATGCGGTCCAGGCCAGGGATGGGCAATACCCCTCGCCAAGGTCTAATCTAATTGCGCTCCAGGCCGTTGGGCCAATCCCTTGCTCAAACTTTGGCTGAAACCATTCTTTTGGGAAGCAAGCCTCCTTTTGGTCTCCCATTAAAGGTGACCAGGGCCCGGTTGTTCAAACAACAAACTGCCCAAGCCTGGTCCAGGGGCCCTGGCACGGGCGGCATCCCGGGCATGAACCAGAAAGCGCAGATCATGATGACGCCGGAGACCGGCGCCTGGGAAATCGCAATGGCACAAGCGCGACACCCGTTTCATAGTGATAGTTGTGTCCCGTGACTTAGGGAGTGTGCGCAGCTTCCGGTCAAGATGGTGCAAACTCCGTTTGCGAGGAAGATCACGCCATCAGTTATCTGATCGCCAGTGCTTGTTGGTTGATGGGCTCGATCAGTGAAAGCTTCGATTGCATGAATGCTGCTGTCGCACCCAGTATGGTCCAATTATTTTACTCTCGACTGTTCTTTCAATTGGATTCTGCAGCAATGACATCAAGAAGAATATATGCGCTTTACATGGAACAGATGACATACGGGACAAGTTCCTAAATACGAGGGTTCACTCGGCAAGCTTCATCATTTGTCCCTTTCGTTAAGCAACTTTTGGGTTTTACACGTTCTGAATGTCAGCGGCTGAAGATTCATTGCACCCCAGATCAACAAGATTGTGAGCGGATTTTGGATGTGGGCGCGGGTGACAGAGAAGATCGACAGGTCTCACAGAGACAATCGAAATTCAGCAAATCCTAAGGCCTTCTCACTGGTATTACTCAAACAAACTCAAGGTCTGTCAATGAATGGGAAGGAAGTGAAGGCAAGGGGATCCCCCGTTTGCACAGCCCAAGCCCTCTTTGGCCTTCAGGTGTAAAGTTCGAGGATGTGGCAGGCATCGAGGAGGCCAAGCAGGTGGGCGATTCAACTCCTTGTTTAAACCACTTAACAAAATCGCCAAGCTGTTTCAACAACCTGTCATGTATCTATGCACCACGTCATAAAATAGCCACCGAACTGCTTTCATAATATCACGCCCACTTTTGTTTTTCCCTGAAAGGGGCATTGCCAAAATGGGTTTGGCTGCAACATTTCTTGCACTTGGAAGGAGCTGACCGAGATCGTGGACTTCCTGCGGGCGCCTGAGCGCTTCGTGAAGGTGGGCGCCAAGATTCCCCGAGGCGTCCTGCTGAGCGGCCCTCCGGGCACGGGCGCCTCGACGCAAGAGGGGAGCAGTTGGGGGCGAAGGGTTTTGGACCTGCAACCCTTTTTGTTGGCCCATAAACCAGAAGTTCATTTGTCATGGGGGAACTCACTCAATTTTCCGCAAAAAGCCACGGGACTCATTTTCCCATGTTCCTCCAGATCCAGTTATTTTGAGTCCCCAAAAACCCTTTGTTCCCCAATCCTCTGGGCAAGTGCCCGACACTAAGCCGCTCATTAGCGATCGAATCTCTGGAAAGCTTGAGTCGGTTGCACTTCTTTGTTGCCCACCCGTTGCTTTTTGTTCCTTACCTTTTCCCCGAGAAGGTCTTCATGTATACTCCTCGCTTCAAAGCGGCAGGCCACCATCATGCACTGGGGCATGAACCAACAGCACAAATCTTAGATCAAACAAAGCTTCCATGTCCCTCCTGGAGCCAAGAAATCACTAGACCAGAGGGTTTTAAAGACGGCCACCGTTGTGGTCGAAAATGTGTGAGAGGGGTTGGGTTCTTTGGCTTTCCTTTTCGGGGCGCCCTCAGGGAAGGTACCATTTTTGGGGTGGTTGAAAGGGAAAACTGTGATGACACACACACACACATGCATTTTCACTGCGGAATAGAGCCACTGCAACTGGCCCAGGCAAGACCCTCATGGCCAAGGCGTTGGCGGGGGAGGCCAAGGTGCCCTTCATCCAGGCCAGTGGCAAATCGTTTGTGGGAAGATGCGCAGTTCAGGCCCAAGACAGTTTTTGGGCCAGCTAACTTGAAGCTGTTGGATTCGGGAGTCGGCCAAAGTTTTGGACAGGGAGCAATTCCATCGCACAATTCCAAGAAAAATAAATGCCAAGCAAAATAGTATCAACATGTAGACAGCAACTGGACCTGCACAAGGACAACTAGGCACTCCTTGCACAAAAACAACTAGAAGGTAGGTGGCCAGAAAGCATGATTTACCCTGTTGTAGGCAAGATCAGCCGCACTTGTTTGTACACAATAAGCTGTCTTTCTGCGCAATTTGTTTGCGCAAATTTCTCCGAGCAAGTTCTTTGAGCAAGCTTCTCTGAGCAAAAGAGACAAGTTGGGTACCTCTTGCACACAAGAACCTCATTTGTCCTGGATTCAAGATTCACAACTGCCCGGGAAAGCTTTCTCAGAAATCTTGACTCCAGAGAAAGGCCATGGAGTCTATATATATATATATATTGTAGTGTATGAAGCCATTATACTCCGGTTTTGGACAGAACACAGTTCCATTACAACAATAAGAGATAGCAATGTCAATACAGGACTAGGACACCTGAATATCGGTATTAAGTTTCTTTATTTTATTTTATTTTTTTGGGGGGGGGCGGAGGATGCAAGTGGATCTTGGATCTTGGATCCAGATTCCTTAATACCGGTATTAAGAAATCTAAAAAGCAGTGTTCAGAATTAGGGTACATCCCCCTTCCTTGTTAACATACACAGACATAACGGCACCAGGGGGGTACCATATATATATATATACATATACGCATATACACATATGTATATATGGGTTATAATATATATATATATACACATACATCATCCATAGTCCATAGGGAATTGTTCAAACATATTGGTGGCATATCGATTTTGGCTCGAACGATTTCCGCTCACAGACCTTTGAACTGCCATGCGCGTCCTGCCATGGTGAGCTACCAGCCAGTTGCAGTCGACTCGGGCAACGCCAACACAACCGCAGAGAACCAACAACAATCTGATGCCGCAGACACCGAGAAGCAGCCACATGAGAGCTGGTGGAGCTGGTTGCTGCAGATGGCATGCCTGAACATGGTCATGATCATGTGGAAAACTGACAACATGGCCCTTCCAGCAGTGTACGCTGATATTGCCAAGCACTTCAACCTCTCACCAGCTGATCTCAGCAACCTGGGTCTCGTGCGCGGCATCTTTGAATCCGTCTTCGCCCTGCCCGCTGGCTTGCTTGCCGACCGCCTCCCACGGCCGCAGCTCATCCTCGCTGGTAGCATTATTTGGGCCGCGGGCCTCATCGGCTGTGCCTTCTCACCGGATTTGCTTTGTATGACCATCTTCCGGGCTGTGAATGGCATTGGCCTTGGAATTGTCCAGCCTCTGCTCTTCAGCCTCGTCGCGGACAAGAGCTGCATTCACGGACGGGGGAAGGCCTTCGGGTGCTTGATCTTCACGGGCCAGTTGGGCCAGACCGCCTTCACCGCCTTTGCCACCACTGTGGGCAGCACAGAGGTGGGCAGCATCTCGGGCTGGCAATTGCGCTGCTTGTGATTGCGATCGTAAGCGCCGTTGTGGGCGTTGCAGTTGGCATCTTCGTCAAGGAGACCAAGGAGAGAGACCAACGCACAATGCTGGCGATCATCGTCCAAGAGACTCCAAAGCTCAGCAAGATCTTATGCCTCCCAACCTTCCTGGTGATCATCGGGCAGGGAGTCTTCGGCACTGCACCCTGGTTTGCGTTCAGCTACCTGACCATGTGGCTGGAGCTGAACTGCTTTTCCAACCAGCAGGCTGCCACCATCTATGCCTTCTTCAACGTTGGCACTGCGTGGGGAAAAAAAACATAATGTTCAGCTACGAGCCTGTTCACAGATGGCTGTGTTTAGCATGTGCAAATTGTCTGTTTGTTTCCCGAGCAGGAAGGATGGGACGCGTGGCTTTCAGCTCAAATTCTCTGTCAAATGGCTAATCGTGTCGTATAGATCATCCATGGTGGAGCCCTGTGGTCTAGTCCCGTGGTCTGAACGAACGCGTTGAATCGCCCAACCTGCGATTCCAGGCCTCTGCCTCCGAGTTCATCGAGCTCTTTGTCGGGGTGGGCGCTTCACGGGTCCGCGACATCTTCAAGCAGGCAGGAGCTGGAACCTCCGAACCTTTCCTAAAGATGGCCAAACCGCTCTTGGTTGGAAAGTTGGTGAACGGTTTGCAGGTCGAGGTTTTTCGGGATACGAATGGCTAGCCTGTCCTGGTTTTGACCCGATGCTGCCCTTTGTTGGGGTCTTGAATGGAACCCAAATTGAAGCCATCAGCCATCCATGGATGTCGCCTCAAAACAAGGGGCATTTTGGTAGAGCTTTTAAAGGGAGGCAACATGAAGCCAACCATTGCACAGGGCTCCTGGTTATTGCACATATACTGTTGGGGTCTGTTGCCCCAGGTTCCTGAGATGGACAGATGAATCGGTCGTTCGGACTGAATAATCCGATCTACACTGAATGAGACCTTGCAGGAAAACAAACTTGATTTCTAACCTCCATTTTCAGAACCTTTTGGTTTGTGGGCCCTGCGGCCGGTGCGCCCTTTTGCAGGCTCAGCTGAAGGCTAAAATGATCCAGTTTGGGAGCTATAGTAATGTGGCCAATTCACATTTATGACAGTTTCACTCAAAACAGATGGAGCCCAACGGATGGATCCTGGTATCCTGGTGCTCTCAGAGTCTCAGGCCAAGGAGAATTCCCCGTGCATCGTCTTCATCGACGAGCTCGACGCCATCGGCCGACAGCGCGGCGCCGGCATGGGGGGCGGCAATGACGAGCGCGAGCAGACCTTGAAACTTGGATGTGCGGGCTCCACAGGAGAGTTCCACACCAAAAGGGATGGGTGCAAGCCTAGAGAATCGGGCTCCAAATGTTGTCATCCTAATTGGTGCTCCAAAAGCGTCCACAGTCAAATCAAATTGGTTTGACTTAGCGAAGCTGCTTGGGTTCATGAGGCATCATCCGGGGCGGATCGACTAAGGGACAGGCGCCCTATTATGTGCAAACTATGGGTGATAGGAACGGCTTTACGCCTGGACAACTTCTGCATTCCGACAGGTTGAACCAGGCATCAGCATATTGAAACAAGCATGTTGCACACTTGATGGCTTCACAGACTCATACCTCTCATGGCTTGTAATGGAACCAGCCGCCGGCCTTTTGGTTAAAAGCGGAACATGCAGCAACAAGTTTGCAGCGATATTGGAGGCTTATTTGAGGCTCATTCACCCATTGAGGGAGTTTGCAGTTTGAACGCCCGAGGAGGGATTTAAGCAGCGAGACAAAGCCTTGCTTATGCTGGAAAAACCCCAGTTTGGAAGCTTTCCCGAGCCCTTGCCAAGGAACCAGATCCTCACTGAGATGGATGGCTTTGAAGGCAACAGCGGCGTGATTGTAGTTGCTGCCACCAATCGTGCAGACACTCGGCTGCATGTATGCACAGCCGCGGTACTTTTTCTCAGTGGCTTTACCCCTTTAGAGAATGTCCTTGCCCCAAACAATTCCAAAACCATGTAAAGAATCAAAGGTGGCTAGGTCTGGTCCCAACCTAACTTCCTTTACCAGGGTTTTGCTTGTGGCTCACCTCACTTGCTGCTTGAATCTTAGGACATCCTGGACCAGGCCTTGCTGCGGCCGGGTCGTTTCGACCGCCGGGTCACCGTGGGTCTGCCAGATGTGCAGGGCCGGGAGCAGATCCTGAATGTGCATGTGAAGAACAAGAAGCTGGCAGAAGAGGCACGGGGCGGCCAACCTTGGAGTTTTGCCCGCCTGTTAACACGTTGCTCGCGCGCTTAAATGCTGGGTACACAGGTTTTGCCAACACTTTGGTTGAGGAGCAATTGCGGCCAGGTGCATAGGCAGCTACGTACTTTCGGCTTTGCTAGAAACACCAAGTGAACGAAGCAAAACACGTGAAGCATGATCCCTAAGCATTGTGCTCGCTTTCGCACGCTTCTTTCGAAGCACGTGATTGTGCAACAAGATGATGCAAACAAACAAAATATGGCAGACAGATTGGAGTGGGTGGTTCTACAACAGTGGATGATTTCCTGCTTCGTCCTCAGTCAAAATGAGTGGCACCCTCCCATCCACGTTGCCATGGAACTTGACTGGGGGGTTATTCAAGGCCACTTTCTCTAAACGGAACTCTCTAAAGCTAAATGACACAAACTTTAGAAGACTTTTTACTTGTAGTCACAAGTAACAATTATCAATGTTGTTATTCTTGTTACTGCTATTGTTATTGCTATCATTATTGTTATCATGATTATTATTATAATACAACTCAGTATTTGGATTCTCTGCGGTGGAGCGTAGCAGCTCTTTGCCTAAGGTGACGCTTCTGGACATTGCCAAGCGAACGGCTGGCTTCAGCGGAGCAGATCTCGAGAATCTCATGAACGAGTCGGCCATCCTGGCGGCGAGGCGCAACAAGACTGGCATCACCATGCAGGAGACCTGGCATTGCCGTGGGAAGCCTTCGCACGCTGAGCTGTTTCATGGTTGGTCGCATAACTTTCTTATTTGTAGGTTGGTGCTCTTTTTGACTTGGTTTTGAAGGCGGGGTGCCAGGCAAATCTGTAGGAGACAAACTTGGCATGCAGAAAGGCTGAACACATATTTACAACCGGCCACGCTGTTGCAGGCATATGCCCACTTGGCCAATCCCTCGTGAACGCATACAGACATGCGATGATAACATATGTGCCATGGTTGAACATGTCATGTACCCAAATATATGCATTTCTATGGAGGGAACCAGACCATTGCTTATGTATTATACATCCAAAATGCAAGGACTTAGTGAGACCTTCCTGGCTTTAATTCTTGCCCTTTTTCCAACAAACATGGAAGCTGACAGAAGGGATTTGGAAGACTGTAGTGTTGGAAAGCTCCATTTAAGGTTGATGTTCAACCATCCATTTTGTTTCGCCCCATTGTTGGCAAAGGGGTAAGCAGGGTGCCTGGCAGCTCACTTAGGAGATCAACGACGCAACTGACCGAGTCATCGCTGGCCTCGAGGGCCGGGCTATGCCCGACAGCGCCTCGAAGCCGCTCAGCAAGGAACTCTCACAAAAAGCGAACGTAGAACCTGCAGGGGGGCCCTGGAAGACCATGTTTGTTTTTCAAAGGAGGCGTAGCCAACTCTGAAGCTTGCATCACTCAAACAGCATCAGGGTAGAGTTCAAGTGTGGTTCGCTCACAAAACCTAACCCCAAACATGATGCCAGAGAATGAAACACGCACGTTTCTCACGTGTAGGATGCTCTCCTGCAGACTGCATTTTTTTGGGGGGGATCGACTCTTTTTTGTGCTAATGTGCAGGGGACTCGCCAATCGTGACTCTTTTGAGCATGTCCAAGGAAGCTGGTGGCCTATCACGAGGCAGGCCATGCTCTGGTGGGCACGATGCTGCCATACCATGACCCGGTCAGCCCTGCGAGGTTGCATCGGATAGAGGGTTCGAGTCCAGGTTTTGTGAGTAGCAATCAGTTAGCACATGGCTTGTCCCAGTTGTGGCACCCCCACAGATTATTCCTCACTATTTCCAGATGACTTAAATTTTCAAAGGGACGCTGCAAGGAACTCCCCAAATTCCCACAGAGGGTGAGGGTGGGCAGGTCGGTACGTTTCTTCCTTCTGCATGTGCGGCTGGCATTGCCTACCGAAACTGCGACTGCCAGGTGAACAAGGTGACGCTGATCCCCCGTGGCCAGGCCAAAGGCCTCACCTGGTTCACCCCTGGGGAGGACCAGAGCCTCATTTCAGCGGCCATGCTGAAGGCAAGTGGGTGGCATAGAGAAGCCGGGAAAATAGACCAACACCAGTGAATATGTTCGCACAGAGTGTCCCAATAGACGGTAGTGGCTGGGGTTTTTATTGTGGCTTCCCTGGCAAATTCCGAAAAGGGGTCCCCATCAAGGTCTCCGTAAGCTTGATTTCCCCAATCCAGCCTTCTATGCGCAGGCGCGCATCGCGGGCGCTTTGGGGGGCCGCGCAGCGGAGCAGCTGGTCTTCGGCACCGACCAGGTCACCACTGGGGCCAGCGGAGACCTCCAGCAGGCGATTCCGATCCGTGGGGTCATAGGTTTGGTCAATGTCAACAGACACCAGAAGCGATTTGTCCCAGGTTGAGTGATTTTGACCATGCCTCATTTAGGCCTTGACGAGGCAACATACACAAATGCGTTTTGTTTCGCAGTTCCAAAGCTTTACTGGGATACCCAATAAAAGACCCACATACTGTTGAGAGTTGAGCAACAGGTCCCCGTACGCTCTTGCAGTCTAGTGGGACACAATCTGTGGCCTTGTCGAGAAGAAATAATGTCACTCAACTCCCATCTTCCAAGGCCTTGGAGCAGACTAAATGAATAGAATTGGGACGCTCCATGCCCCCTGTCCCTGAAATTGGCATGGGGGGCATCTTGAAATGAAGCTGAGGAGTTGTGCATCCATGTTGCTGGATTGCTCTTTCCCACGCCTGACGTGTGAGCGCGTGTGTAAGTTTTGCAGGAGCAGGTCGTGCCCATTTATGCAAACCGGCAGAGCCAGTTTGGCAAGCCCGACATCAGCTGGCAAGCTGGTTGGCCTCAGCACATAGCTCATTTGCAGGATCTTGGTAGCTCAGCTGCTCTTTACATCCCAGACCTCCAGTGCCTGTTTGCTGGCCCTGAACAAAGAGCAACTTCCAAATCAGAGTGCTCCTTTTTGTACAGGGACATAGATGTGTGCAGCTTTGCTTCGGCCCGCCAGGTGGAACGCATGGCCCGGGCCATGGTCACACAGTTCGGCATGTCTCAGGCATGGAACGTCGCTGAGAAGTTGCGTGGGTAGGATGATCGATTCCCTTTTTTATGGCAAGCTGTAGAATTTGCATCATTGTTTCTAGTACATTCCCCACTCAGTGACCCAACCCCCAGGGGAAACGGGCAGCCATTTGGTGGGGGGAGAGCTCATAACCTCAAGCATTGAGCCCCACAAGGTGTCCACAGCCGAGCAGCGTCCACAACACCTACTAGCCATTGATAATACGCGGTTCTACCCGACACTTGCCACTTGGTCAAATTTGGAATACCCTGACTACTTTTTGGCACATGTGCTGTCACCTCCAATGGTGCTGGGCTGCAGAAGCTTGGGCAGTGGTTGCTTGTGGGAGTGACCGAAATGCAATCTGCAGCGTCCTCTCCGATTCCAGCCCGAGGACTTTTGCGCACTTCACCCTAGAATTGCACCCAAAACCCTTGGGCATTTGAGTCAAGTCATTTGCGGTCCATGAGTAACTCCACAAGTGTACGGATGGTCCCAACCATCAAACACCTTGTGCAGGGCGACCTTTTCCACCATGATTCTTGTTGGTTGGTCTTGGCACTCTCCATGGTATGCTTGCTTTTGTTTCTTTGGCAAACAACTGGGAAAAAGACGCGATGCCAGGTGGGCTCCATCGCCATCGACGAGGGGGGCATGATGGGCCCGAGCTACTCCGAGGCATTGAGCAGCGAGATCGACGGGGCGGTGAAGGCCATCTCGGATGAGCCGCTTGGATCGGGGGAACTCGGACATGGGGCACTTAAAGTTGTTGCAGTTTAAGTTCTCAAAATTACTTGGGGGGGGGCGTCAGTAGAAATGTAGATCTCAGAAAGTACAACACTTGGAAGCTGTACAGTACATCTGTGCCATGTTCAATGTCAACTTGACTTGGGGTTGGCACGCACGGTCATCAACCAGGCGTCTTGGCTCATTGCCCCTAGCTAAGACCCAAGAGAGGGTAGTGCTTCAGCCATTACCCCTCGTGAAGTGCCATCTCTTCACTCGCTGATCTGCCACGGCCCTTCGGCGTTCTGAACCTGCTTGGCACCGACGACTCAGGAGGACACGTTGCCAAGCTAAGCATTTTCTCAGGCCAGTCAACCTTTGAGATTTGCCTCGGCCCAACGTGTTCTACGGTCTCATCACTCCTGGAACCCTGAGATGTCAAAATGGCAATGCGCCTTTTGCTGGGTGGTCAATGCATGGCATGCTGCTTTTTGTCCCAGTTGTGGACAACGCTGGCAAGCAGCTGCCTCAGCACCGTACCCAGAAACCTATCAGGACAATGGAGCCAACAAGCACAGATCCCACAGCAAAGGAAAAGGCAAAGGCAAAGGCAAGACCAAAACCAACAGTGGCAACGCGCGACCGCCAAGGAGATCAACTCCCAAAAGAAAAGCTGCACCAACCAGCGAAGCATGCCCAGTCTTTCATGCACCGCCAGTCAAGAGTGGCAAACCAGTGCCAGCAGCCGACACTGCTCCAGCCCCGTATGTCACCCCGGCAAAAGAAGAACCCTTTGCGCCGGAATCCAGCCGATACAGCAGCGGCCTTTCTCCCAGATCCATGATGAGCTGGGACCAGATCACTGCACCTGGCGACAACAAAATCGATCAGGATATCATGGAGCCCAAAACCGCCATCGCAAGCGAGGACCCAATTCTTGCTACAGCCAAGAACGAGGTGATCAAAGCACTGCAGCAGATTGGTTCGTAAATCATCCTGCCACCTGTTCTGCAGAAGTTGATCGATGGCGAGCCGGCCGCCAAGTCAACTCCAGCCGACATACATTGCACAGCGTGCAGCCTTGCAAAGGCACAGAAAATGAAACAGAAAGCCACAGATGTCATCGAACAGCTCGAAGACGAATGGCGCAAGTTCACAAAAGCCATGAAAGAGCAGTTCCTGACCAAAAAAGACGAATACAACGAATCACATGCGGCGTGGACAACGGCCTTGCAGTCTGCACAGCGCGAAGAAATGGAGGCGCTTGCCCAAATGGCAGCCCTCAGCCGCGAAAATGCCAGCAACCAGACCAACAAGCCTGGGCAAGGCTCCGATACCAGCGACAGCAAAGTGGTAATCGGCATGCCCGAGTTCAAGCCCCCACCTGCACCCAGTGCAACAGAACAAGCTGTCTCACAAGACCTAATCCAGACGCCAACCTCGCCACCGGATACCATCCCTGCCGAGGAATCGACAATGGAGTGTCAGCCAGAGAAACAGCCGCGAAGAACCAGCCGGACATGCAATCCCAAAGAGCCCAAGCCCAAAAAGCCCAAAGCAGACAGCCAGCAGAACAAGCTGCAATTCCCAGGCCGAGAGCGAAGCCGCAGCAACAACAGCAACCGGTTTCAACCCCTGAGCGAAGATGCCGAGGGCGAGGAGGGCTGTCCCAAACAGGGGTAGCTCAATTCCAGCGTGCTGTGAGCAGGCCACAGCGCCTGAAAAGCCCAAGCCTGCACTTTCGCTGTGTGTCAACCCAAGCCCTGCAAAGAGCCATGAGACCCAGCCGATCTAGGTCACCCATGCGCAATGTGGAGTGCATAGTGCTGCCGCAAGGCACTGAATCGGTCATGCAAAGCGAGCGCATCTATATGTGGAGTCGCACACTGGATCATGCTGAGCCCAAGTGTGCCCGGGTGCCCATGCCCCACGATGACTCGCATTTGCGCCTCGCCTCTGAGCATGCCTTCCAGCACTACATGGAGTTCAACCACCGCATTGTTCCTGACCCGACGGTACCTGGTCATGGCAGTAGTGATGACAAGGTCACTGCATATCTCTTTTGGTCATCGTGGCAGCAGAGCTTCTACAATGGCACATGGAGGGTTCCAGTGCTTGTCCAACTCCGGAGGTGGCCATCCAGGGATCAGGTTGATGTGCGGCATTTCACTGCCACCCTGCCAGCTGTGTCCTACCGCGACCAAATCGTTCAGCAGTTGCATCTCACCGAGTGTCTCAGTCCTGATGAGCTCAGTGCCGCAGAACTGTGTGTCGCAGGCGAGGCATGGCCGCCCAACATGACCACCGAGCATAACATCCCGTGTGGGTGCATGATTGAGATCAGGACGAAGCGGCCTGATGCTGCCACTGCCACGCGGACTGGTGCGGACGATGGCCAACCCTCGAACCGCAGAACTGTCAGTGCAAAAACTGTTAAAATTTGCCACACCTGAAATACGTATATATCAGGTTGGGTCCCGAATTGCAAGTCCATCTCCAGCCCACCCAGAAATCTTGCATACTCCGCCACCCCCGCTGTATCAGATTGATATTGGGGAAGTTCGAGAAGTGCTTGAGCCTTGGCCCAACAATACTGTTTTTGATTGAACGAGGCCACTGTAGACATCCTGTCCACCTTGGATCAAGCCTTGAGCAGTGAACCTGTCAAAGCTGCCTTCTACACTGATGGCTCGTTTTATGAACCTGGTGTTGAGTATGGACTGTCCCCCGGGTCATGGGCTGTACCCTTGGTTCTTGAAACCCCCTCCGCAACCCAGCACTTTGGGGGCTTCATATGCGGCACAGTGAGCTTGGCCCAACACAGCACTGATGTTGAAAACCTTGCACTCATTGCTGCTGCCATGTGGGCAATTCAACTTCTAGGTCAGTTCAACCCCAATCTGCAGGTCGAATTTTGCTATGACTCCCTCAATGCTGGAAGAAATAGCCAAGGGTCTTGCGCTAGCAGTCTTGGTAAACCCAATCAGTTGGCCATGCGGGGCAATTGCTGGAAAACATGTGCGTTCCAAAATACACACATGTTAAAGCGCATAGTGGAGACCCGCTCAATGAAGCTGTTGATGTCCTCGCCACTGCTGCACGGACAGGAGTGATCCCATGCAGCGAACAGCTGAGCCATCAAATTCAGCAAGTGGCCAAGCATCATGATGCTTTGCAGTGGATGTGGCTCGTGCATAAAGCCATGAGTAAGGACGTGAGGTACCCAAGCTTATCTGAAGATCAGCAATCAATGTTGGTACCCTGCCTCAGCTTTCATAGTCAAACTCCTCACTGCATGTTAAGCAATCGAGTCAGAGCACATCCCGCTACGCACAGCCTGCATCACTCACGTGATGACCAGCCGAGTGTCAGCCTGCGCATGGCCACAGCCAATGTTGCAACGCTCAAGCCAGCCTTTTTCCAAAAAGCTAGCAAGAAGAATGCGCCCAGGCCTGAAGCCCCCACCAACCCAAGAGAAGAGTGGTTAATGCAGCAATTTCGCGATGCACAATTGCATGTTGTTGGACTGCAGGAAACACGTTCTAGGCATGAGCGCTGCATCAGTGTCAATGGATGGCACTGCTGCCCATCATGGGCAGGGAGGAGTCGGCTTGTGGGTGAGTCTCAACCTGCCATATGGGCAGACGTCTGATGGGCGTGAGCTCGTCTTCCGGGCTGAGCAATTCCGTGTAGTGCTTTCGACACCGCACCATCTGATTGTCAGAGTTAAGGCTGAGCATTTTAAGCCCCTCATAGTATTAACTCATGCGCCCATCCAAGACGTTGAGGACACTGTGTACCAAGCACATTGGGATGCTTGGGATTGCAACTCATCAAGAATTTCCCTCGGCTATTGGAATCCATCAAGGTCAGGATGATACCCCCCATGCCCTGATACTTGGCAATTTCCTTGAGAGGCATGGCCTGTTTCTGTCTTCGACTCTTAGTGAGTACCACTACGGGGGTCCCAATACGTTTCTGGGTTGTTGTGAACGGCTTAAGCCACGACGCATCGATTATGTAGGCCTGCCCCAATCCCTCCAGTATAACCGCATCGAATCCCATGTAGCTGATGACATTGACATTCAGCATGCTCAGCCTGACCATTTGGTTGCTGTGGTGAGTTTTTGCGCCCCTGGCTGCCGAGACAAGCCGCCAGCTGTGAGTTACCGTAGGCCGAACCCTGTGAATAGCAGTGATTGTGCCCAATGGAAGCTTGCTGTGTCCCGTGTGGAGGCCCTGTTCTGGGCACTTGAGCAGCTCCGCTTTTGCAATGGAGTGGTCAGGATGTTGCTGGACCCCCTGATGGAGGCATCCGGACCCTTCAAGAAAAAATTGCGATCAAGGGATGTAAATATCGAAGCGCCATCAAGCTCATGCGACCTGCCCTCAAGCGAAGTAAGATACAGCAGTACATTGAAAGTGTTGCCAATGCGGCCCAAGCTGCAGTAGCCCATGGAGGTCCCAATGCCTTGTGGCAGCAACTCCGGCCTGTCCTGCCACGTGCTAGAGCAAGAGCCAGGGCTAGAACCCTTCCGTGCACCGAAGTACTTGACGAGGCACTCTCGTACTTTGCCGAAATTGAGGGAGGAAGCCTCAGCGCACCGCAGGAAGTGCAAGCGCAGGTAATTCAGGATTACCAGCCTTTGTACCATGCCCAGGGTCTAGTGTCAAACTGTGTGACCTGCCCTCATTGTCTCAGTGTGAAGCTTATGCGGCCAAAATACCCATCAGGAAGGCACCTGGAGAAGATTTGCTTGTTCCTGAACTATACAAGTGCGCTCCTGCCGCCATCATGAAGTGCTGGTATCCGCTTTTCCTAAAAAGTGCATTGCATTCATACCTGTCCAGTTCATTTAGGGGGGGCACTGTGGTACCCCTTTGGAAGATGAAAGGTAGCAGGACATCCCTCAGCAACTATCGCAGCATCCTGCTGACGAGCTGTGCCTCGAAGTGCTACCAAGCACTCTTGCGCCGGAAGGTTGTCGCATACACTGATGCGGGGTCTCCCTCCAATCAATTTGGTGGGCGACGTGGTGCCCAGCCTGTCTTTTTGAATCATGCTGTTAGGGCTTTTCTGAGTCAGGCTCATGCCCGTGCAAGGTCAAGTGCCATTCTGTACGTTGACGTGCAATCCGCCTTTTACAAGGTTCTTCGTGAGGCCGCTGTTGGACCATACAGGCATAACGACTCCTTCCTCAATGTTTTTGAGAGACTTGACCTGCCTTGTCATGTAAAAGACGTTGTCATCAGCCTTGTACATGACAAGCCCGATGCTGCTTTGGACGCTGCTCCGCCAACAGTGCTTGGCCAGCTCCAGGACATGATGCGTGGCACGTGGGTAAGTGACCCTGGTAGTAGCCGAGTTGCAATAACTGAGTTGGGATCCCGACCGGGCACCCCCCTAGCTGATATTGTCTTCAACTTGGCCATTGCACGAGTACTTAGAAGCATCACTCACGATCTTGGTACATGGGGCATCGCCACGAATTTCCATCACAAAGCAGGAAGCTCCTGAAGCTGCCCCTGTCTTAGCATGGGTTGATGATGTTGTGGTGTGCCTAGAATCGGAGTCCCATGACCATCTTGTTGCCAACCTCAGGAATGCAGTTGAAGTAATTGGCAAAACCTGCAGGAAGGTAAAACTGAGGCTAGCATCCGTTTTGTTGGAACTGGGTCCAAGCAGGCCAATCCTGACCTGCACATCCATGCTGGGTCCACCATGAAGGTGATAGGACAAGATGGTGAGGAAGCCCAGTTGAATATCGTTCCCAAATATAAGCACCTTGGCTCAGCTGACATGTGCCTTGACGATGAGGTCAAACGAAGGATAGCCCTTGCTTCCGTTGCTTTGGGAGATATGAGGAGAGGAGTCTTCACCAATCGAGGTGTAGCCACCAGTTCAAAGGCTGCCCTTCTTGACGCCACTGTCTTGCAGAAGCTGTTCTATGGCTTGCAAGTGTGGGCAACCTTCTCCAAAATGGCCCTTAAGAAGCTGAAAGGGTTCTATCACCAGGCGATCCGTGCTGCTGTAAGCATGCAATGCACTTCGGAGCAGCACTTTACGCATGCTGCTGCTCTTGCCGCGGCGAGAGCTGTTCCCTGTGTTTGGCAAATCAGGCGTAGGCGACCACGTCACTTGCAGCACATCTGGAAGGAGGGACCATCCGTTCTTATGCAGTTGCTCCTCAATGAAGACCAGCATTCGCAGCATTCATGGCTCTCCAAAGTGCAGCAAGATGTTGCACACATGCGCCTTTATGCCAACGATGCACTGCGGCGCTTGCCTGCGACATATGGATGGCTTGAGCTAGCTCAATTTGCGGGTCAACATGACAAGGATTGGAGACGTGCCTGCGAGGCCGTTGCTAAGAGGGTTGCAATCGCCAGTGATCAGGAGGTTTTCGCCCGTAAAATGCGTGGCCTCCTTGAGCTTGCAGGTGTCGTTGTTGTCACTCCGGTAGGGCCTGCTCAGCAAAGCAGTTCCGCCTTGCCATGCCAACAGTGTGGGAAGGTTTTCGAAACCAACCAATCCCTTTCACTGCATCGACTAAAAGTCCATGGTGAACATGCAGCTGTAAGAGCCTTCATGTGTACCACGCACTGCGTTGTTTGCATGGTTGAGTTCCACACCACTCATAGGCTTCAGATGCACCTTCGCCGGACCAGGCCATGCGTAGAATTTTCGCAGAGATATCTCGTGCCTCTTGAGCCTGATCAGTTCATCAATGTCAAGCAAGGCAGTAAGTTCCATGGACACAAAAATGTCCCGGCCATACGCCTAGCAGGACCCAGGCTCCCCACCACATATGAGTGGCGCGAGTCTAATGCCACTGATTTTGACCCTCTTGAACCGACTGGGCTCGAGTGTGCTTCACGCACGGGTACGCCAGCCTTGCTTGAAAACGCACGAGGGGCCTGCAGACCCTGACAGCCCGGATTGGCATGTGTCATTGCTCGATGCACAGCATGATGTAGACCGCAGGACGAAGGTTGATGTGTCCAACTTTGCTTTCTTGCGGCTCCCTGCATTGCTGCGAGTGCGGCAGAAACCCACTTTCTTTGTTGTGCACCTTTTCTCGGGAAGGGATCGGCCGGGAAGCCTCCGTGCCCATGTTCAGGAACTCAATCAGAAAACTGATTTTGAGGTTTTTGTCATATGCCTGGATGCTGTTCATGATAAGAAGTTGTGTGACCTGGGATCTCCCCACCTTGTCATAAAGCTCATCAGTCTTGCCCATCAGGGTCTGCTGTTAGGACTGCAGGGTGGCCCGCCCTGCGAGACGTGGTCACGTGCGAGGCAGCAATACATCGGGCCCAATGCGCCACGACCGCTGCGGTCTGGTGTTCAGCCATGGTCCTTGCCGTGCCTGACTGAGCGGGAACTCAGACAAATTGAAATAGGCAACCGGCTGTTGCAGAATTGCCTATTAGTCCTTCTTGCCGTGTTTGTCAATGGTGGTGTTTTCATTCTTGAGCACCCGGCTCATCTGGACGGCCCGGAGGCCCCTTCGATTTGGCAGCTTCCAGCCATACTGTGGCTGCAAAAGCTCGTAGGGGTCGAGGCACATCGTGTAGCCCAATGGAACTGGGGGCAAAGCGCCAAAAAGCCCACTACTCTCCTCACAGGCAACCTGCCGCAGTTTGAGCGTATCATCAACTCAACCCAGGTTCCTGTTTCAGAGAGGCCTGCCATAGGCAAAACAACCGGTAAGGATGCCCAGGGGCAGTACAATACTGCACGCCTTAAGGAGTATCCCTCTCAGTTGTGCCGTGGGTTTGCCCTGAGTTTTCATGATGCTGCCATGAGCCGTGTAGCAAGTGACCCTGACATCAGGGAGCTTGATGGAGGCCTGCTGGCTGAACACGCCAGTATGGTCCTCTCCGAGGAGCAAGGTCCTGACTTTGCGGGATGACCGGTTGACTTGGGGTCGCCGGCTTAATTCACTGCACACGCTGCGTCCGACAGGACTCATTGCGCAAGGAAAGGAAAGGAAAGGAAAGGTCATCAACCTCTGAGCAATTTCGCACCCACATCAGGAGTTTAGATTGACCTGGCGTGTGAGTGTGTTAACAAACATCCCAAAGGATGCTCATTCGCTTCTCACAAGTCAAATCTCCTGGTTTCTCACGAGTCGTTTCTCACGAGTCGTTTCTCACAAGTCGTGTCTCCATTTGTTCAATCTGTGAGAGCGGGAATGCCTGGTCAGATGTTGGGAGCTCTTGCCTAAACACTAAACCCAAACCCAAGCCCCAATCCTAAACCCTAAAGCCCTAAACCTAAACCTCAAACACCCGGCCCCCGCAACCAAAACCCCAAAATCCCAAAACTAGACACTAAAAACCCTAAACCTAAACCCAAACCAAACCATAACCTAAACCCTAAAGACACGAAACCTAAACCCTAAAACCGTAAACCACAACCCTAAAACTAAACCCTACGAACCCTAAACCTAAACCTGAAGAACCCGAAACCTAAACCGAAGCCCTAAACATCCTAAACCTAAACGCACTTGTTTTTCTTGAAATCCCACCCGTTTCTCACACGTGTCTTGAGACTTGTGAAGAAACACACAATGTCTTGTGGGACATGATATTACTTGTGAAACATGAGGGAACAACTCTTGTCAGAACTCAGGGCTTCCCCAAAAGAACAGTGTCCACAGGTGTCGGTGCTGTATACGTATTGGGATTGACACCCATGGAGAAACCCTGGCGGGATGTTTGTGGCTGGGAAACTGAGGTGGCTATGAATATCAATATATGAATATCAATAGAGAATACGCTACCATGTGGTGGATGGACACCCCCATGGGTTTCTGCTGTCCACCAAAGGATTTAACCAATTCAGATTCATACTCAGGTCAGGTTTGCCACTGAGGTGCTACCTGAGGGCCCTAACTCTGCTCGCCGAGCATCGGGCCGTCTTGGACAAGATTGCCCACGAGCTTTGCGAGGCACCAAATGCGCAAGATCCGCTAGCCCAGGATCATCTGCGTGGGCATTCATGGCTGAATGTGCTCCCCATTGAAATTCATAGCCATTCTTTGGTTGCAATCCCTAAGTTAGACTCCAAATCCTGCATTGATTTGCTGTTGAAGTCTTGGGGGAAAACAATGAAAATTCTGTTGAGCGCAGGAAGGGATCCCTCACAGTCCAGTGGAAATCAGGTAGCTCCGTAATTCCATTGAAGTGTTGTCGCGGGTGCATAAATCATTTGTGGGAGAGAAATGACGGACACCCTGAATGAAAGCTGCGTGATGGTTTAGGGTTGGTTTGGGATTTGTCAAGGGCTGGTTTAGGGCTGCTTTAGAAAGATCTAGGTTTCGCTTAGGGCTGGCTGGAGATTGCCAGAGGGATCGCTCGGAATCGCAGAGGTCCTTGGGGATTGCCGGACAGCATTTGACAACAACTGCCGTCCTACCTCTCATTTGTCAAGACTTGTGGCAAAGAATGACGCACCCAAACATACATAGATATCCGCAAATGCCCATCCACGTAAATCATATACATGCATGTATATAGTACGCACATGTATGCACGTATATGCCAATGACGCACGCACACGCATACATACAGACAGACAGACAGACAGAGGACGGACGGACGCACGGACGGACAGACAGGCAGACAGAGAGGCGGACGGACGGACAGATAGCCAGACAGAGACAGCCAGATAGACGGACAGAGACAGAGACACGTGGAGAAGGACAGCGACACAGAAACAGATGCGA